GCGGGTTCCCCGTCTTCCGATCCTTTCGCGTCGACCACGTTTTCATCGTCAGCCAGTAGCAGCAGCAGCATCAGTAGCTCGAACGCCAGATCGTTCTCTCCGACGCTACCGACATCCACGTCCGCGTCGTTCACCGAAGACTTTCCCTTCCCTCCAGGTCACAAGTTCCGCTTCACTCTGCCGTTGTACAATGTGTCGATTCCGGAGAATTCGATCGGCAAGACGTACGTGGTGCCCGAGGAAAGAATGGGCATCAAACTCGCGTCGCCCGACTCCAATCTCGACATTCGTTTCCGTATAATGAGCGGCGACCGCGACAAGTTCTTCAAGGCCGAAGAACGCACCGTCGGTGATTTTTGTTTCCTGTTGATTCGGACTCGAACCGGTAACGTTGACGTGTTGAACCGCGAACGAAAAGACCGTTACGTGCTCGAGGTGCGCGCCACCTTGAATAAAGGCGACGGAAAAAACCGGGTGACTATCATGGAGGCGGATACCACGGTCGTAGTGACCATCTTGGACACGAATGACCTAAACCCGCTGTTCTATCCGACCGAGTACGAGGCAACCATCACAGAGGACACGCCTCTGCATCGCAGCATACTCAGGGTAATAGCCGAGGACGCCGATCTCGGCAGGAACGGCGAGATTTATTATAGCTTCGCCGAGGAGACCGATCAGTTCGCCGTTCACCCGGTCAGTGGGGTAATAACGCTCACCAGGCCGCTCAGGTAGGTCCGCGTAATAGAATTCTGGTGTTTCGTTTGATGAGCTTGAGGATCGTCGGTCCACGCCTCGAGATACTCGTTTGCCTGATCGTTTACGATGCATTGCGATGCTTTAGGCGGATCTTGTCATGTACTTGGATGGGTTCTTATTCTTCCTTTTTTTTTTCTTTTGATACAATGTTATGCCGAATGCGTAAGAAGAATGTGAACATACTAACGAACAAATCATTTTTCTAATTTTTCCATGATCTTGATTGATACTCGAACTTCTTGCTTACGACGGGATATTATTTTCCAAGCGTGAATATCGAATCATGAAGTATACAGGAAATGCCTCTGAAATAAGCGATCGCAGTTTGGAAACGTGTCAGCTTTGAAGTTGAAAAATTGACTTTTATATAAAACCTTGCAACAGAGTTATTTCAGAATCATTCGTTTCTACGATAATACTCCCATTTATCTGGGACCTCTAATTGGCGGAACATTTTTTTCATTGCCTAATTTACTGAATTTCGCGCTATGTAAATCCAAATGGCTTCAATTATGTAAGATTTTGCAATACTACTCATATCACGAATGATGGTATATTTGAATTCAGTTATTCCAATGTGAACTCTGGTTATTTGAACGAAAAGCTATGGGCAAGGGAAATTAACGAACTGATATTACGGAAACTTCAAGCCATCCAGTTATTTGAACTATTTTATCTACAAATGTAATGAAATAAATGGAGTTGGATCGTAATTGCTCAATTATTTATAGATTGGTCGTACTAAACCATAAAACGTAACCAAATTGAATTACCGCTATCCTAAAAACTTTTATTAATCGAACAATCAAAGAATTCAAATCAAATCCCCAACAAACTGATGCTCAACTCTTTGAAAGTAATTTATCATTACGTATTTTCACCCAGATACTCGGAGCGAGCACTTCACGAGTTGGTGGTATTAGCAAAGGACCGTGGAGCCCTTTACCGCAGCGGAGGGACCAGAAGAGCCAGCACAGCCAAGGTGACCATTAGAGTTCGTCAAGTCAATTTACACTCACCCGAAATCTACGTGCACCACCTGCCAGATATCGTAGAACAATCGAACGCCGATATCTACGCGATCGTTCGGGTGGTCGACAACGACGAAGGTATTCACGGTCAGATCGCGAGTCTGGACATCGTGGGTGGTGACCCAGCCGGTCACTTTAGGGTACGGCCAGCCGGTGGACCACATTCCGGTGAATACAATATCGAGGTGCTACATCTGCTGGATCGGGAGACAGCGGTTCAGGGTTACAATTTGACACTCCGTGCAACAGATCGGGGCGTTCCACAACGTTACAGCTACAAATTTGTGCCCGTCCATCTGGCCGATCTGAACGACAACGCACCAGTGTTCAGTCGAGAAATCTACGAGGTGAAGGTGCCCGAGACTGCTCCCATCAACACGCCGGTGATCAGACTGAAGGTGACGGATGCTGACGAGGGGAAGAACGCGTTGGTGTTCCTGGAGATCGTGGGCGGTAACGAAGGTGGAGAATTCTACGTGAACGCGGAGACGGGAATGCTATACACCGCGGTGAACTTGGACGCGGAGAAGAAGGCGTTTTATACGTTGACAGTGTCCGCGGTGGATCAAGGGAACGCTGGAACGAGGAAACAGTCGTCCGCCAAGGTTAAGATCAATGTGGTCGACACGAACGACAACGATCCGACGTTCGAGCAGTCGGAGATGGAGGTGTGGATCGACGAGAACGAGCCAGCCGGCACATCGGTCGTGAAGATCACCGCGAAGGATCGTGACTCCGGCGAGAACGCCTACATCTCGTACAGCATCGACAATATTCAGAAGGTGCCGTTCGAGATCGACCATTTCTCCGGCATCGTGAAGACCAAGCAGGTGCTTGACTACGAGACCATGAAGAGAGAGTACTTGTTGCATGTGCGGGTCAGTGACTGGGGCTTGCCATACCGGCGACAGGCAGAGATGCAGCTGCACGTGAAAGTGCGCGACGTGAATGATAACAGACCGCAGTTCGAGCGAATCGACTGTACCGGCCACGTGCCTCGATACGTACCCATCGGCTCCGAAATCATCACCGTCTCGGCCATCGACTTCGACGCCGGCAACATCATCAGTTATCGCATTGTCTCTGGCAACGAGGACGGCTGCTTCGCCCTGGACTCGGCCAGCGGCGTACTATCCGTGGCTTGCGACTTGTCCGACGTCAAGGTTACCGAGCGAATGGTCAACGTCACGGCCACGGATGGATCACACTTCGCGGACGTGAATCCCGTACACATGCACCTGGTAAATGCAAAACGGAACCTAGGCTCGCAGGGAAGAATTCTAACGGACCAGAGCGGCGCCTTCGAGTGTCGTGACACGGGGGTCGCTCGAAGATTAACGGAAGCCATCGCTGCCGCAGAGAGAAACAACATGCCTTCCAAAGACGACGAATATGCTTTGACGCCAAGCAGATACGGCGAGAACATTCACGCGCCCGAATTCGTCGATTTCCCTAGCGAAATAAAAGCCAACGAATCGGTAAAGATAGGAACGACCCTCGTCAAGATACGTGCCAGAGACAGAGACTTGGACTACAATGGGAAATTAGTATTTTGCATATCCAGCGGTGATCGCGACTCGGTATTCGGTATCGATCCTGACACCGGCGATTTGAACGTCATAGGCTACCTGGATAGGGAACGCGAGAGCGAGTATTTTCTGAACATCAGCGTGTACGATCTGGGCAAGCCACAGAAGTCTGCGTCGAAGATGCTCCCGGTCACAATTCTCGACGTGAACGACAACGCTCCGAAATTCGAGAAGTCCCTGGCAAGCTTCAGGATTTCAGAGACTGCACTGAATGGAACGAACGTGTGGCGGGCGAACGCGACTGACGCGGATCTCGGGGAGAACGCGCGCGTCACTTATTCCCTGGTGACCGAGACGAACGATTTCCGTGTAGATCCGGTGACGGGCGTGCTGACCGTTTTCGGCAGATTGGACAGGGAACGACAAGAGATCTACGAGCTAAGAATACGAGCGCAGGATAACGGTGGCAAAGGGACCGACTCACCGCCATTGTACTCGGACGCTTTGGTCAGGGTGACGGTCGACGACGTGAACGACAATGCACCCAGTTTCGCGTTGTCCACGTACACGGTGAAAATTCGAGAAGACGTACCGATATGGACGGTCGTGGCGGTCG